CACCTTCTCCATAAATTGTGGTGAACAACCATCACATTTATGCAACACCACTAAATAAATTGATGTAGAACAGTTAGCGGATATGATAAAAGAAGAATTGGAGTGACGCACACATGGAAAAATTCAGTAAACTGCTATAGGGCGCCAATTTAAGCCCATAACTCGCCATTTCAAAAAGAACAACGTCATAATTCACACACACAATAAACAGCTCTGACGAGTAAAGGGGCACTAGTGATGTACCTTGCAATTACCATACTCAAAGCAGTCTGGAGCATAGATGCGTGCGTACTTTGATATGCTCAAGGCAATGTTTTATATTGTAGTCCTTTAGGGTCCTTTTATGAGTTGTAAACCAAGCTTTGGTGTAACTCTAAATCTAAGTGAGAATCCAAGGATAAAGATCTCCTTAGCCGTACTGGCTCTTAACTCAAGTCCTACTCCAAATCCAAGTAGATTTGGGGTGTGAAATAGGCAAGTCTTAAGGAGGTTTGGACTTGGATTTTTTTCACTTACTAATCGTATCCTGACCTAATAATTACCGGACATAAGAGATTTCAACCCACTCCTTTCACATTAACCCACTAACTCACATGAGGGTGTAACGTTATATGGCCTCACAAGTGGTCTCAACTATTGTTTCTCCAAATGTGAATGCTTGAACGATCAACAGAAACCTTAACTATAATGTTTATTTAAAGCATAAATATCTTCAATAACGAATTACTTATGTTAAAATTCCTTTCTTTTAGATAAAAATTAAAAATTAAAAAATGAGTTAGACAAAATGCAGGCAAAATTGTACCAATAGATTGCCTTCTAATTGTTTGATTGAGTGCACAATTGAGAGTAAGCACATGCTACATCCTTTGTAGTAATTAAGGCAAATTGAATCAAGATGTGAAGATTAGTATTAGGTTTAACTTATATATTCTAGTTTTCAATAGATTTATTAGACTAAAACAAATGAAGATGAAGATTAGATAAATTTATTAGCCAAAATGGAATCATTACCGAAAACGAGAAGCATCAATTATCGAACATGGCCTGGCCATCAAAGTTGGAGGGAGGAGGCATACGGTACCCACAAAAGCATGCAGGTAACCCCTTAGACATTGCTGTTTGATAAATTTATTCAGTCTTATTTTGAACTTTCGAAAATTTCATAATCTGATGGCAGAAAAAATTGAGTGAGAAGACAAAAGGGGCACGTGTGGGGGGTGAAAGCTGAAAAAGTCAACAATCATCAAAGAAACATACGCGTAACAATGGCCTGACAGGTGCTTTTAATTTAAGCCCCCAACTCTTTTTGAAAAGTGATTTTAACAAAATCCCAATTAGAGGGGACAAACAGCCGCTACCAGCCTGTACCCCAACCCCTCCCTCCTTCCTTCCTTCCTCATCACACATACACGCACACTGTGCAACTCTCTAACGTTCCTTCACATCTTTGAGCCCTCTAAGTTAAACCAAAAATAATAATAATTAACAAGTATATTATGTAGTAAGTATATGTGTTAATTACTAAAAGGTCAATAATTCATGTCCTAAGTGAATCTCACCTGCTACTAATGCACTCTTAAAAAAATGATCCGTCTAGCATTATTTTATTTTTTTGAGAGAATCTCGACGGAACGAGAAGTCCAGCATTATTTTATATTTATGTTTATATATACGTATTTTAGACTCCAAGGTGCCATGCGATATATACAGACTTCCCATGTCTTGTAACTTATGCTGCCTGGTTCGAAATTATAAACAATCACCCACTTCCCCTACCTAGCATAAATAAAAACAATAATAATAATAATTGTCCTCTCGCTCTCTCTCTCTCTCTCTCTCTCTCTCTCTGGTATATATAATAGCACCAGCTCAACCACGATCACACCTCCAAAGTACAAAGTTCAAACTCAAATTCCCTATCTTTGGATCACCTTGTTTTTCTCTTCATAATATTAATTCTTTTAATCTTCCAGCTGAAACAGAAACAAGCAATGGTTGTACCATCTCCTTCACCAATACGAACCAAGAAAACCAAGGCAGTAGGAATTCCCACAATCGATCTATCAAATTACAATAGGTCAAAGCTATCGGAACAAATTGTCGAGGCCTGTGAAGAGTATGGTTTCTTCAAGGTGGTGAACCACGGCGTCCCGAAAGAGGTCATTGGGAGAATGGAAGCACAAGGTGCTGATTTTTTCGCCAAACCCGCCATGGAGAAGCAACGAGCTGGCCCGGCTTGTCCTTTTGGTTATGGCTGCAAAAACATTGGCCGCAATGGTGACATGGGAGAGCTTGAATACCTTCTCCTTCAAACCGATCCTCTCTCTGTTTCTGAGAGATCCAATGCCATCTCCAACGACCCTACAAAATTCAAGTATGTTTTTCTTCTAATTAATTAGTATACACACATGCATGTCACATATTTATTTCTGGAAAACAATGATAAAGAAAATGAAGAACAATATATAAAGCCTTGAGAGAACTGGGTTTTCGGTTTCTGTTTCTTCGAGCAGGTTCGCGGGGTTCATGGTATTAAGTTTATGGCGTGTTTGTTTCTTCGAGCAGGTTCGCGGGGTTCATGGTATTAAGTTTATGGCGTGTTTGAATTAATTTCTGTAATTTGATGAATTATAATTACAATGCCATTATAAATATAGAAACATTATTGGAAAAAGAAATCATGGCACTATTGGCCAACAAAGGAGGGAGGGAATTGATTTTGCAGATGAATAGGTGGAGAAGATTGTTTAGTAATGCTTGGTATCCTAGAGAACGACATATTTCCTTATTGGAAAAAGAAAGGATTAAAAAAACCAGACTTCATAATCTATATTTATTTAATAAGTCTTTTGTTGTCAATTTATTCAATTTATTATTATTATTTTTGTTTCACGGACATAGCTACCTCATAATAGACCTTCAAATTATTAGTTGGATCGGCATTCTTTTCATGGTTTGTTAATGGCAGGGCACCAAATATATAATATAATAGCTTTGACTTTCATACAGAGTTTTTTTTTGGGTCATGCATATACCCGACTCTTTTGGTTGAGAAATTCTGTTTTTCGACCGTAATAATATGCTGACCTAAAATTATAAATTTATCGAAATTATAATACATATACAGTTATTAATATTTAATTTTAAAATCGAAAGAGATAAATCACACTATGTCACGTGTTATTATTACTGTTCTAAAAATCGACAGAGATAAATCACTCTTGAATATAGATGGCAAAGCTTTTTGCAATAATTTGAGGCTAAACATTTTAGGGCCCGACTTGAGTAGTTGGAAAATTTGAACGTCATCTCAATGAGCTTAGATTTCTCATCATCTTATCCTGTTCTCGTTTCTGCAACATTTTGATGAACAGTAGTCGTTCTCCATTGATACATTTGAAGAACTGGGGTCATCTTTTTGTACTGAATGCTAGCCAATCTGTGAATGAAGCATGTGCATGAGATTACAAATTGACATGACTGTTTGGATCGATCTTCTATATATTCTTTTTTCTTGCATGAGCCGAGTATGAGACAGCTTGAATTTATTGGCCTTTTCATTTGAGCAAAACATTTCAACCATGCATACAAAAACAAGAGAGTTTATATGCTTAGGCAGGCTTGCATGGGACTACCCCATGTTCAACTGTGGGACTCCCACTTTTCGCGGTAGCCAGGAGGGCCATACCATTATTTGCATGAAAATTTAAACAATCAATCATATATATATATATATATACATTTTCTATGATAGCTACATAGCTTTGCAAATCATCAAAAGATAAAAAGAAAAGTTAAATTGCACAATCCATCCCTTTTGCTAATGCTAAATTTGGGAACGACATTGAGATGACATTTCGATTTATTTTTCAGTGTATAATGGGCAGAATCAATTCACCAAATGATGTATCAATATATATAACGTTTACATTCAATCAAACACTGTGATGTTATTCGATAAAGAATATAGTATACGAGTTTGCTGTGTATTTTTAATTTTGAAGTAATGAATAATGATCAATTTTGTTTGAATTAATCCAGCTGTGCAGTAAATGATTACACAGAAGCAGTTAAGGAATTGGCATGTGAGATTCTTGATCTGGTGGGTGAGGGACTATGGGTTTCAGACAAATCTGTGTTCAGTAGGTTCATCAGAGACGTCCAGAGTGACTCAATTCTGAGGCTTAATCACTATCCTGCGGTCAAGGACCCATCACCAAAACAACAGCTTCATCCGTATGGTAACAATAATAGGATTGGATTTGGAGAGCATTCTGACCCTCAGATCTTAACCATCCTAAGATCCAACAGCGTGGGGGGCCTTCAGATTTCACTGCATGATGGCTTGTGGGTTCCCGTCCCTCCTGACCCCAATCACTTCTTTGTAATGGTTGGTGATGCCTTACAGGTCAGTAACACCAATTCTTTCTTTTTATTTCCTCAACATATATGTACCAATTTTCCATCATATTTAAATTAACAAAAGTTCAACTGAATTATGACTCGGAAAAGTTTATAATTTTTTTCATGAAAAAAAAAGAT